GTGACGGACAGATTTGGCTAGCAGCAGGTTCACTATCAAGTTGACAGATTCCGGTTGATTGAGAATGTACTGGCTAATCTGCATGTTCCCACGGCTTACCAAATTTCGTGCAGGATGCCCATTTGGTTGTCAAACCAGAGAGGAAACGGGAGCCGAACGCTTAGGGCGAAAAATCGTTTTCCATTTCTTTCTCATCAGAATTAGTACAAAAATCTACTTATATTTTATGGGACAGTATAGTGACACACCATTGAGTACATAAAGTTAAAACAAATCAGTTCTCCTGATAAGTGTCTGATGATCAGGTGATTGGCGACATGTGGGATTGATGGGTGGCAACAAATTCCCCTCCTGCGGTTGATGGTTATGGAAATTGTAATGCTTGAACTAGCCTCTTTAGGATTAGGCTTCATCAGGCTTATGCTTACTGCTTCAGTTGATGCAGTTTATTTGGTACCCATTGTTGTGCAATACCAGGAATAGATGGTTCTCTTCCTTATTCCTCAATTCTGTCGTGCTGCAGTGTGTTTCGACCCTATTGAAAAGGCTTTGAATGCAGCATCTCTTGTGGTTCAGTGGCAAAATGCATGTGGAAGAAATTGAAACATCTAATTGCTGGATATGAACAACACACCATCAATGCTGAACAATTCATCAACAAACTGAAGTGTGTTACAAGAGAGGATGAAATCGTGTTGTGGTTTGAGGTCACCGCACACTTTATCTCGGTCTGTCACGAACATGCAAAAGAAACCATGATGGAAGTACTTCGAAATCAACCGAACACAAAAGAAACCTCAAGCCGGAGAGCATATAGGAACTTTTGAAACTCTGCATGATTAATTATTTTTATTTTGATGGTCAAGTATACTAATAACTGCAACGAACGCCCATGCAATCGCCCATCTCAGGACTTAATGCAGAAGCTGTGATGCAAAAAACTGGAGAGTATCACAATACTGTTAATCAAACTAAAATTATGGATCCTGTATGTGGACGACACGTTTGTCGTCATCAAACGAGATTCCATGCAGAATACCCATGAGTTAATCAACAACACATTCCAGGATATCAAGTTTATAATTGAACTCGAAAAAGACAAACAGTTACCATTCTTAGATGTACTGGTCCAAAGAAACACTGACGGAACAATTCAGACATGTGTAAATCGAAAGAAGACCCACACAGACCAAATATTAAACTATCACAGCAACCATCCACTGAACCACAAGAAAAGCTACATTCAAAGCCTTTTCAATTGGGCCAAAGCACACTGCAGCACGACAGAATTGAGGAATAAGGAAGAGAATCATCTATTCAGGGTATTGCAAAACAACGGGTATCCAAGAAACTTCATCAGAAGAAGCCTAAGTAAGAGGGTGCATCAAAAACTGCAGGAAAACTTAGATAAAAGGGTAGCGCTTCCTTACGTCAAGAACTAACATCAACATTGCTACGACCACATAGAATCTTGGTAGCCCACAAACCAGCAGGTACTTTGCGAAGATTGCTTTCAGGACCGAAGGACAAAGTCAAAGAAGGCAGTCAGGATGATGTCATCTACCAACTTAACTGCAAACAGTGTGACAAACACTACATCGGGCAAACTGGAAGGAAAGTTTCAACGGCTCAATAAACACACAATGGCCATACGGACACACGACCCGCATTCACTGGTTTCCATGCATGAAGACCAAGAAGGCCACCAATTCGACCTAGGGAACGTTAAGATCCTGGCCCGTGGATATTCGAGGTAAACTAGAGAGTTCCTAGAAGCATGGTATTCTACAGACAATTCAATAAACCAACACTTTGAAATATATGACATATTTACAGCGCTACGGATGAAAGATCGCCGAATTAGTAGATTACATCTAATGGAAGAGAACGCCAGACAATCGCATCAAACGACGACAACCGGAGAGGCACGCGCGTACACTACGAGGTGAGAATCAGAGATCGATTTCGATGGTTATGTGCTCGTCGAACAATCCAAACCCAGACTAGAGGCTAGAAGATCGATCACTCACACTCACTGAGGCGCCAAATAATCGCGCACTGACAATGCCACCTCGAGTGATGATAAAACGTTTGTAATCAAACTGCCGAGCCCAACGAACACTCAGACCACCAACTGAACAACCTGAGCTACCAATATTTGCTTCTATGTCGCAACTTACTGCTTCAGCAGTAGCAAGCAGTCTTGCTGCTAACTGACGGGTCAGGTGTGCCGGTACCTTATACAGGATTTCGAAGGCATTACTTTTGTCAGTGTTGTGCCCAGTGGCAATCAGGTGGTTAATAATTGCACTTGGCTTAGACCTGTCTCTGCGGTTGGTGAGCAAATTCGGTAAGTGCCCGTTGATTTGATTTTCTAAGTGCCTGGTCGTGCGTTCCATATACCTAGCTCCACAGGAGCAGGCGAATCGGGATATTACGTTTGATTGGAGGCGAACGGGCACTTTGTCTTTGAATCTAGGGACAACCAACGATTCGCTCGTATATATCACATTGACTTCAGCTACCTTGAATGTATTCCTGCAGGATTGCATCAATCTTCTTGTACAGATCTCAGTCGCTGTGTCCCTCTTCAAGGAAATTTTAAGGAACAAACGTTATTCTCAGCCGTTTGCTCTGTCGGCTTCGGGTCTTTAGGCCTCATATGCGCGTCAATATAGCCTTCTGGATACCCATTCTCAGGTAGTGTGTACTTGATTCGTTCCAGTTCATCTACAATAGTGTCTTCGTTACGGATTTCGTGCGCATGACCGGTCAACGTATAGATCAGTGGTCTTTTGCGGCTGAGGGGCCAAAGCTTTGGAAAGGTATATACTGCCCCGTCCAATATGACTTCTGTACTGTCCTAACCGTCGCGCAGCTTCACTCTCTTCTCTCTTACCAACTTACCTTTCCTTATCCCCGCTCAGCTCGTTGATCATACCGTCGTTCGAATCGGATTAATTTGTTGGCTTAGTTGGGTTGATTCAAGTAGAATTATTCCAATAGGATCACGGCTTTCGCAGCCCAGGCACTTAGGCGTAAGCATAAAACTGGGCATATAGGTGATCGGAAACTATGGGTGCGAGCTTCACAGTCTCCGTATGTCTTGAACTCACACCTCGAGGTTCCATAACACGGACATCGATTCGCGCTCGGATGCGTCTTTTAACGTTGATGACTGAGTGCTCATAGTTACTTAGGCGACGGCTGCAGTAACGCAAACGATGTACGATGTGGGCTCAAATGCTGACAGCTTGACGGTCATTGATGGATGGAATAGTCCGCGTCACTTCTGAGTGTGTGATGCATTCACCTTAGCTCAAGATAATTATACCTAATTAGGAAACACAAGTAAAAAACTACCGCACCCTAGGTTAAGCGTTTTGGCGTAATCACTTGCAAAAATTCCGTATCCTGTTGACCGCAACTTATTCCATTAGGAGGTGAGATCTAATGAATTGGGTGCACATCTGCTTCTTATCGAAAAAGACACATTTCATCCAACCCTTCCGGGCATGTTTTATACTGGCTACGGATCACTATGGGTAACCAGTGGATGAAGATGGAAAATTGCCTTTTCAATAGTGGAGCAGTAAAAGCTGTCCCAGGCTCTATGCCATTTTCAGTATGTGCGTGGTCGCCGAAAAATCAACTCAAACAGGGTCTAGAGCTGAAAGGCACCACAACGCTGTGTGGCATCATGTAAACAAACTCAAGTGGAACTAGAAGCGATCTAGGTCAGGTACAACACAGCTGGGTCAGGTTTTGGCCCCAACAGCGATGGCATCCATTTGGGTGAATTCGTACTACACTTCCTAATACGGTATTTAGAGAAGGAGAACTGTGATTTGCACGTTTGGAAATGCACGTTCATTCTAAAAATGTCATAATGCACTGGGGCCTTTGCGGTTAGCTAGTACCCATTCCAAGTATGTAAGCAGCATTTATTCACCTACAGAACACTGAAGATGGAATCATCTTGACAAGAGGCAGTTCAGAGGATGAAGTTCGCGTCACAAAAATTCATTAAATGCACATTATCATTAGTGTCGAAACGAAGGAGCCCAACCAAGTTAAATGCATTGAAAAGTCATTTTTACACTCCGGTTCAGCAACGATTGCCTCAATATCCAACCACACAACGCTGTTCAGTGAATCAAATTGTCCACTGTCACGCAAATACTGCGCAGGCTCTGACCCCTGTCCACCATATGCCATTCGGTGTAGGCGAGACGAAACAGTGAATTTCCTAACAGAAAGGCTCGAAAACATCCACATGCGAGGGGTTAGATGCGTGGTTGTCTAATGTTTATTCCTTAGCAACTTACTATTACGTTATATACTGATTTGGAAGGAAACCCTTCTTATGCTGAATGGGCTGTTTACAGTTTAAAGATATCCCAGGGACAGCTTGAACTAACCGTCTCATCATTCGGATAAGAAAGGAGTAAGCTTGCCAACAGCTGGGTGCCACGTATAGTGTGCCGATATTTGCGGAGAGAGGACCATACAGTCTGCATTTCATCGCTAAGTGCGTACGACCCCATTGGCCATGGGGTTTGACCAAATTCTTTCAGTGTATGATCTATTCGCACACTGCCCTCTATGGTATGCAGCAAGATTGTGTTCACAGAGAATACGAAGGTGTCGACGTCAATGACTTTCGGTCGATTTCTTCAGAAATTGCTCCTGCCAGGGAAATTTTTGCATCCCCTTGTTGGGTGCTCATTAAGTGTACGAAAGCATGCGAAAGGAGCGTAATCAACTAACTAGCGGAACCACAACTAGATACCTAGTGCGTTCACGATTCGTCGCAAAACGGTGTAGTATCACAACACCACAACCGTCCATACCTCCAATCATACGCACCTAAGGAAATGGTGCGAGTATTGATCGGGTTGGGCGTGAAAGAGTGGCCCCACTAGTGTTACACCAGCGGGAATTCTGATTGGTCTGTTCGGTAACACAACATTGACTATCAGTCGTTTTGTCGCTGTTTCACTCTCATCGGAATCGGGACCAAAGTTACACTGAATGGACCTAAGAGGACTATCGAAATGCAGCGTTTGTACTCAAAACCATTGACCAATATCACTGTGAATGTCTCGCTTGTTGGGATGAATGGTTCGGGAAAATCAGGTAAGTGTGAGTGATGTTTGGCCTATTATGTGCTCGCGAGTCAAAGCATGTTAGCGTAGTTGGTTTCTTGCTAAGTGATCGCCAAGGTTTGCACTTAGAAAGCAGTTGATCGTCGGACAATGTAATCACCAAAATCCCACTAAGCGATTACGTTTAAACAGTGAATTGCGGGGTACAAACATTTAAACGCTGGATTTAGACAGAAACTCGGAACTAGGTGTTTGTTCCAGAGGTGTCCACTGACAGTTCACATGATCTTAGTTTGAGCCGAAGGTCGGCTACCGGAAGAACGTAAGTAGATACGAGGCCGGTCGAATGGTCTAATGTTGAGGGCGAGCAATATCCAACAGCTTGCTGTTAAGAACCGAGGGTTCATTGGACCTGTCGTACAGATTGACGTAGCGATCTTTCACAATTGAGATTTGATCTACGGAGAGGTTTCTTATTCATTTAGTCGCAGAAATGCGCAAACAAATAGGTAAGTAAACAATGAAAAGGACTAAAGAAAAATGATGTACCGAAAAATATCCCAGGGTAAAAAGTAAAAGGCGTGTGTCAGCTGTGATGGAATACTTAATGGAGGTAAGCACTCCACACAAATTAAAGGACCAATTCTAATGGGTGGCTACACAATGCATATTTATTGTTTAGCATTTGTAGGAATGACATAAAAGCAGCTGGGCAGTTAGGGTTTTTCGTTAGCCCTGTGCTGAGCAGTAATGACTCAGGCGAGCAGTTGCGTACGATGCTAGGGATCTCTGTCCGCCATTAACCAACCCGGCATGAGCTCAGCATCTGATGATTGCATTACTTTGACCTTAAGACTAATCTACCTAATCCCATATGAGTTGGCCGGTATCAAACTCATCCAAAGTGAGACAATCCGAGGATCAAGCATAGCACCACCTTCAGGATAATAGATATTTCTATCATGTATTAAATTGAAACAAAGGTAAGAGGTGTCCTTAATAATGGTAAAGAGAGGTGAATTTTTTGGCCAATGATTAGACTTCTAGAATAGGGTCGTTGTTTAATACTGACAACTACCGTAACTTACAATTCTTCCCGCGTGTATCTGAATGTGAAATAACCCATAGGTTCAGCAGATACAATATCTTGTGAATGTCGGCCCATACAAAAACCCGCGGATGCAAAGCAGAAGTTCGATGTTTAATTTCTTTTGCGGTAGCTTAAAAGTAGTCTTTGAGGATGTTTTGCGATGCCACCATCTACATGACAAATGATGTCGACCCGGTCTTCGGTTGGCCCCATCAAATAACTAGTCGGGGCTGAGATGCAAAATGTGAACTCAGCCGGGCGATCTCTGATTGAATGTCAACCATGGACAAGCTCGTTCTTGGAGATGATAACCAGTACCAAAGATGTTCATGTCACAATCACTATCCAAGAGATGGAAACAATCTCATCCTTGGTTCACAGGGAAGCACGACCCAAACTGCGATGGTTTAACGCAATTCGAAGATACCACGAATATTCTAAATAATTCGATGAATACCTTTATAGGTTTCGGCGACCATAGGAAGTCCCAGCGGAGGGTGCGAAGTAGCTACCTTTACAGACCCCAATGGTCACAACTTAAGGCATACGGAAAGAAAAACTCATGTGTTCTTAAACATATCAACGTTGATGGGGCCAGGCTTTTAGGCGAGCATGATGCTTGGTTCTACCTGGTTAGAACAACTGCGTTAGAGTACGCCGAAAAGGCTGGAAACAACAGACGGCTGTAGATGCTTCTCATCTGACAGTCACCAAGGAGAGAATAATAAAGTGAAATAATATGATCATAGTTCATTAAGTACGAAGTAGTTTGTCATTCATAGCGTCTATTAGGTTGTTATGCTTCGCTCATAATGGTGCTCTTGGGTAAGCAACTTTATGGAAAATTCTTGGGACCAATCAAGAACCCAGGATTTCTGAGGGGTTTGAAAACTAGAGGTTAGTACAGTTCGTCGTCAAAGCTCCGTCCGGCTGTGCCCAAGTGGATGACTGGCTTAGCATTTATTGCGACGGAAATCGCATCATTCCCACACCCATCGCTCACGGGTCTACGTGCGTGACCTTGTCACGTGGACCTCTTAGAACCGTTCTATGAACCATTTGAAGTGACAATTTGACCTGTACCGGGAATAACCAGTTTGCTATAAGTGCAGCACCAATCATCCGCCGGCACACTCGGCCTGAGGAAGCTTTTAGGTCAGAAGCGAAGCGCTACTAATAAACTATATCAACCGGTTATTTTCAAATTTTTCTGAAATCATATTCGTGGGTAGTTCACCGTTTCTGTTCGATTCTGGCACGCAGTCCAAATTCCATCGACTGCATGCTGCTCGGGATCTGTTGCCGTACGGGCATAGTGCATTCTACCTTACCCCGGAAGTGGTTTCGCATTGTTGATATCAAGTACCATCGCCATGCTAACTGGGGATTGTTTCCAACCCATCAGTTGCCGCCACACTCGCCACGCATAGGATGTGTTGTAGTACACAATGGATTGCCATCGTTGTGTTACAGCCCCAAGCAGTATAGGGTGTTCAGTCTTGGACAAGCGTGTGCGGGGAAGGTTAGCAAAACAAGCAGTGCTACATGATAGTATTTATACAATTTTCGCTGGAAACTGGACGTCTCACAAACCAAAGTGGACGTTGAGAAAACCACATTACCGTTTTGTAAAAGAAAATGGACATTTTGCAAACTAAATTGGACATATCGCACTGTAAGCAGAAAAGCAGCAATTGGTTAGGAAGAAGAAAGCCGACTGGACGATGTTCAGACAATATGGTGGTCATGATAGTGTAACCGAATTGTGTAAGCAGCGGGTGCCGTTAGAAACCCTTTCCTTGGTCATGTCTCGATCATCTCCATCAAAAGGGGGTGACTAACTCCCCCCGTTTCTCATTGGTCTTCGCGTGATTTGTGTGCATTTGTCTGTATGCGTGAAGCTGTGCGACTATTGGAAAGTAAGACAAATACGGTGTAGATGCTCATACGGAAGCCATAGCCCGCTTTGTGTGCGCGGAATTTCTTACGGCATTAAATATCATGCATGATCTGATATTCATCAACAACCGGGGTCATATATCCCCAGCCTCCACGAAGAACGTTTCGACACTGTGGCTCACCAAACTTGACATATCCGACTAGTGTGTGTCTACCATGAGAGGATCGCTTCAAATTGAAGACAACTACATGCAGGGTGCAAAGTCACAAAATATATCATACTAACACCATACACTCACACTTTTGCGATCGATTCCGATCATGTTTTGCGTTTTATTTGAGTAATGTTTCATTGTTACGCCAGGACATCCGTCCAATCTCGTCGAATTTACGTAATGCCAAGGCCTTGGGCCATGCATGAATTTGCAGAAAATATATCTTCATGGACCGCGATTCTCACTGAAGCGATTCGATCACTGGGACTGTAACTGATGTAAATAAACGGTGACCCAGTTGTCCCCTGTCCCTCAATACGTCTTCGCGTATTTTGTGTGGTTGTGTGGGCGAACATATGCAATTGCTCAGCAATTGGAACAGTGTAGGCTGTCATGACTCCAGCAAACACAATCTAGCTTTATTGGCCTACTGCTGCAATTTGTTATCAAGGAAAGGGTAGTAAGGCGAAAGGACGATGTACAGGCCACAATGTGGGTACTCGAGTGCAAGGGAACTGTGCAAGCAGTGAGCGGTTGTGCAAGACTTCCTCTTGATCAATGGTGTCCTTCATCTTGATCAAGTTGGTGACTTGGTTGTCCGCTGTCCCTCTATGGGCCTTCGTGTATTTTGTGTTGGTGTGTGGAGGAACCTATGCAGCCTCACGAATTAGAACAGTGTAGACTATCATGACTCCACCAAACCCAGCATAACTGTATTAGCCATGTGCTGCACGAAACGACCAAAATGAGCCACGAACGACGAGAGAACGCATCTCAGCGGCGGCGACGGTACAAGCGAACGTCATCGGCACAGAAAGAGATCCTCACCAAGCTTGTGTTTCTCTACGGCAAAACCCCATACGAAGCTGCTGAAATCATCTATGTCAACGAGAGCATGACAACAAATTTCATCAATGAGTAAAGGTGGGAAAGCACAAAAACTCGGCGCAAATGTGGAGGAAACGACAGGGTGAAGCTGACTTCAATGTCCTGTAACGCCTTGCAGAGACTGTTGAGGGGAATTCCGAGGACACTTTGGTGCAAATACAGCAGCGGGTTAAGGAGAACGAGATCAACCTATCCGTATCTAAGATATTCAAAGCCCTCAGAAGGCTGGTGGTCACGTTTAAAAAGTGCCATTACAAGCTAGACCGCGTCCACCGTGCCATGACAACCGCTAGCCAGCAAGCCTGCGCTTTTGATTTCGCGGTACACGCACCGCATGACAATGGAAAATGCATCTTCATTGATGAGAGCGGGTTAAAGCTCCATCTGTGGCGGACGCAGGCTCGCTCATGAACAGGGACGCACGCAAATGTTCTCTTGCCGCAGTCAGAGGTCGCATGGTGACGCTGATTGTGGCAGTGAATAACCAATTCATGGTCCACTCAAAGATCATCAATGATGGCATCTGCCGTGGTGCAAAGTTCTCAATGTTCGTCGAGGAACTTGTGGTGCATATGCGCTGCAGAGTGGAGGTGAACGGTGTGTGACTGTTCACCGACAACGCATGGTCCATATGCTGGATGATCTAAGGAGAATCTTGGGCTCGTCAAAGTATTGACTGTCTAGCATTCTTACCTGAACTTTATGGCAAAGGTTGAACAGTTGACACAAGCAGTTAGGTCATATGTATAAGCTTGTTCTTTCATCTACACAGTTGTTTGAGTATAACGAGCCACAACTTTATAGGAGTTAAGAAGCACTGCGTTACAACACGTGTGGGGTGACTTGGCGAGGTTGTCGAAAAAGTTAATAACAAACAGTTGGTAGTTTTCCGATCAAAAGGAGGGTTTATCGCTTGTAATGCGGCAGTCCTGAACTCGGAGTAACTACAGCATTAATCAAAAGAACATCCTAAAAGTAAAGCGGAAAGATAGTGGTAAGTAACAACATTTAATTGGCTTGGTGCTTTATCTAGCCGACTTTTAAATATAAATAAATAAATTTATATTCTCGGTGTTGCACGAGGTACGCCAACAAAGCATGAGCAAATAAATGGCTAATGTCGATGCAGAAACGACCGATTCTGGGAGAGCATTACATGGGAAACACGCGAATAGAAAAGATATTTCTGTGGTACTCCAGATCACTATACTATTCTGCCAGTATTAAGGAGTGACATCTCACGCTTATGTTATGGCTGAGTTGCAGTAAGAAGCGGCAGAGTAGATTTGAATTGTGCAGAAGCAATTAGACTACTATCAGGTCGCATCGTAATCGGTGACACCGTACACTGATTACTCCCACACGTTTCAGCCTTTACTCGTATGGGAGATTGTGTACTCAAGCGACAAATTTGGAAACCCGACGTTGAGGCTGCTGCAGTGCATTGGCTGCTAAGTTTGAATTGCTTAATGGACATGGACACTGAACATCTGTCAGGAAATAGGAATGTCAGTATGTTTGAACGTCCGTCGTAACAGACCGACGTGTTCGTTACCAGTTCTAGAAGCGTTTTCCGATTGTCGGCAACAACCTAAGTCATCTAGAACTAGTACGCCCAAGTCACGTTCGACGGAAGGTCCATGCATTACTTACGTTCCTAGCCTGTAGGAGTAGATGTTCCGGTGTTGTATGCAAATTATCTTGCGTGTGAACTACATCATATCTTGGGTTGACCCTTGGTGTACCGTATCTAGGTCACACTGAAGCAAATTCTGATCGGCATCCGCCTGAATCTTGCGCCAAATCTTGAGGTCGTTAGCAAACAGTAGAAAATGTGAAGCGATGGTTTGTGCGAGGTAATTAATAAATATCAAAAACAATTGTGACCCTAGAACTGAGCTCTGAAGCACATCATACTCGACTTGTACAGAGTCACATAAGGAGCTCCGGATTCCAAGCGTTAATTGTCATTGAAGGAGGAAGTTGGTGATAAAGCTCAGGAGAGGGTTATCAATCCCGTAATACTAAAACTAGGAAAGGAGTGGCCAGTGATCTAGAGTCGAGACGATCGAATGCCCCCGAAACTGTCAGGTTAAGCACGTCAACGTGTTCTCCAGTTAGATAATGCGGTATAATTGCGCCGAACTATTAGTAAAATCGCTGTGCATGAGCGTTGTAGACTGTTGCGGGCCCGTCAAAAATCCCCGCAAGAAACGCGCCAGTAACTCCGGCATAGTGGCTGTGGGAAGCGGAGTCCAATTTCTCCCCACAACGCAGCAGTGTTCAGCCACTCCGAGGCGAGTCCCAACTGCGAACCTTTTGACAATGCTCATTTGCAATCTACCACCTCTGCGTGGGGACTGTTTTCCCTAACTTAATAATCCATAGCACTGACTGTGATCGCCCTTTGTCGGTCGTAAAAGAGCCTACAGAGGACCACGTGACTTTTCTTTCTCTTCGCCTCAGTTGGGAGTCGGTCGGGTCGCGTGATCGCGTGTGAATCGTTAGCTGGCCAGCCTTCGCGTCTAAGTCATTAGCGCGCGTCTATCGTACTCCCTCTCGTGTGCGTCCGTTTTCGAGGCCTCAGCGTCTATACGAACAAGTGCGGCTAAGATCGTTCCCACGCTCGTTTAATTTCCCGTCTCACCGGCTAAGCTAGCGTCATCGTAGGCGTGCTCCAACCGTGCGAGCGACAATCTTGTCAGGCAATTACGCAATTATCTCAAGAGGCGGCGTTCCCTCAATCATAACATAGACAAAAGCTTTGCTGCGCGTGAGCAATAATGTTGCCGTTTTCAAAATACATAAAAAAGCCTACCGGTAATGATGAATCCGATGGTCTTGGAAGTGGGGTATCTTGAAGGCTCAGCCTTGCTTCCGCCTTTGTGAACCGGTTATTATTCCGAGGTTCCACATGGCAGGAACCTGTTTCTGATCTAAGAAGCGCTGGAAGAACTGAGCCAAAGGATCTGCCAGTTGTCATGCTGCTGTTCCCGATGCTACTTGCTCAATGGTACCGACACCCGTAGGGTTAAGGGAGTCAAGTGCAGGGGAATGCCACCTGATGTGAGATCGGTGATAACTAATACGCAACTTGATTTGACCGAGGGATGTCCCATTCCTCGTTGAAAGCTACGTAAAAAGCAAGTGAATGAGCTGTGAATTTGGCCTCCTGTGTAATCGCCAGTAGGCTTACTTATTTAGATGATTTCTTGGCTGGTCTTTGCAAAACTGCTGCAGTCGTTAACGGAACATCAGACAAAAGGCATTTCCGATTTTCCGCCAATGTTTTAGTACTTCTGTTGCTGGTTGCTCTGACTGAACCAGGAGGTTTAGAATTTTGGGAGCGCATCCTCTATAAATTTGAGCGATCGCGCGACGATAATATCTAAGAAAAGCGTGACGAGAAGGAACCACCACTGTTCCAAATTCTGATTCCTGGTCTCTTGAGTATCGTGGGAGGCAAGCTCTGGCAAACCATGCAAGAACTTTGAGCTCAGGTGATCTTGTCTGCTGTGTCTTTCCGAGGTGTTTCCCGTTGAATGTCGCGCGCTCTAAGGAGATGAAAATGGTAAATGATTTTAGTGGGGCAACACAGATTGAAACGGAAATCAATATAGTCGGTGGGGTGTTCGCATTGAGCTGGCAAGTGTTCCTGGTAGAGAATTGAGAAATCGGTTGAATAAAGCGTCAGTTTGGGATTTGCAATCTTGTCCGTGGGACGGTTTCGTCGCTGATAAGTGTTAACTGACCTTCTTGTCATCGAAACGTAGGTTTGCAGTGAGCCTTGAGACATAGCTTCACGGTGCAGTGCCTCGATTTACCAAGATGGCGGTCTTTGAGTGGAAAACATGTCGTTTGCCATTAAAAACCAAATCCAAGTGAGTGTCGAGTGGGGTGGTTGGCTAGACTCAGCATGTTAATGAAAATTGGCACTCATACTGGAGGAACCGGCAATGATGCAGATGGAGTATTCTAACTTCAATTGCAATTACGTGACGAGGAGTGATTGAGGAGAAAGTAGACATTATCAAATCACCCACTTTATACAAATATTATGTTAAGATATACTGTTAATCATGGATTCAGATGAAGACATTGCACTTGAAACCAATACGTTCAACAGTGTGCACCAGGATCTTACTGTAACATGCAAAACTACGCACAGCAACTGTCTCCTATGCTTACAAATACTGCTCGCTCAAGCACCAGATGATACAATCCAAAGGTCAAGCTACCGGGAATTGACTTGAACGAGTCAGTACACATATTTTAAGAGCTTCTCGCCGATACATCACAAACGCTCCTTAGTTCGAAGTTTGTTCCATCGAGCTCACATGACTTGTACCACAGCTACATTGGAATCAGAGAAAGAAACGCTGTTTAATACGCTACCATAGAATGGTTAGCTATTTTAGTTTGTGAAAAGTCTCATTGACAGGATGCAAGGAGACTGAGAGATAACGGTTCAAAAGAAACCGATTTTTATTGAGTTACCTTTCAAAGATGACCAGCCTATGAAAGTCACTGCAAAACGAATGAACGCGTCTATGAAAAAGGCATACAATGCAGCAGAACTACGCTTGCTAATGTCCCAAAGGCTCTAATTAAGTGTCTAGTGAAGATACCGGTGTCAAGCAATGCACGTCACATTCCTTATAGAAATTCACATGTAGTTGCGGAGACAGCTATGTTGGGCGGCCTCCTCGAAATGTAAGTGTCCGAAGCAATGAGCAGACGAGTGGAATACGTGACGGTTGCACCATGTGAGTTGAGAAGTAAGGTTGCCTCAGCAAGTACTAGGCACTTGACGAACACCGCTCACCAGGTTAACCCGAATGCATCATTCACCGTACCCACTCGCGGTCAAAGGCCTCACACTTTCAAGACAGCGCCCACCACTGTGTTCAAAAACAGCTGACAGTGACATAAGCTTACCGTAGCACGGAGTAACGTACCAATAGGAAAACAGTCGGTTACCAATCAATTTCATGCGATCTCACTTCGGTCCCTTTGTTATTTGCATGTACAAGGCCGAAGAAAATATACGAAATGACATCATCCCACGACATTCGTCCTCTGATATTCTCTTATTCGAAATTATAAAGGAATTACATGTTTCAAATTTTTTTTATAACGCAGTGGCCCGTCAGACACTACATAGACGTTCCCGACCACGACAGACAAAAACCCCTAAGAAACCTTGGTTGCATAAAGAAATCAACAACCGTGAAACCGATTTCCACCAGTCTACTGTAGGTGATCACGCCTCCTCGGCGGTTCCGGATTATTCTTGGCTGGTCGGATCTAATATGTCGACTCCGTCTTCAACGTGAAGATATAAGCAAATAACCTTGTAACATCAGTATACCTGCGTTCAAAAATTCTTGTGGTCGTAAAAGGTTATGGAGATCAACAACTCCCTAGTAGCGATCGCGTTAACAGTCAGGAAAAGCGGAATTTGGGCCGTGTTTGAATGACAGCGCCTGAGTCTAACTTGCCAACCAACAGGGTGTCTATTCTTCTTCCCAAAATTTTCATGATAATCCATTTGAAAGCATTTCTGATTTCGTGGTCGAATTCGACTAGAGGTGAATTTCGAACAACTTTACGGACCCACATCAAACAAACAGCAAAGTAAGTTAAGAATTCTGATCTTAAAATTGATTCACACAAACAATTGATGTAAAAAGCTTACAGAAACACGAAATTACTCGTAGTGGGTAGCATAGAACAATGTTCCAATGAAAACAGAAACGGCCCGAATTTGAGGGCCCTATCGATTCGACCCATGTGATTTGACCGGTTGTGGTGTGTTTGGAACATCTGCGGCCTCAAACTAATTTTATTGCCCGATTTTAATCCAGCTCACAATTCAAAACTGTCTATTTTCTTTACAGCACTCTTGGTGAAGTATCTAACCAGACGATTTATAGTCGAATACGCACCGTATTTAAGTAAGTCGTTTGCTTAAAGCATGTATCCTGTTAAAAATTTACAACTTTTTATCAGCCAAAAAGAGGCAGAATATTGTTAATGCGACGGCAGCTTCACAATATACGTTTGCAGCTAAATGGACATCAGAAACGCAGAAAACATAATTGTTCACGTTTAGCCTTGGACAGAAAAAAACGATCATTTATGTGTCGCTGAATGTCACACCACATGTCTCACTCGCGAACTGCAGTTTGAAGAGCCAACACACGGGTGACAACGGTGTTTGTCTTATCCGCAGTACGGGCGGTCAGCATTCGTCATTACTGAAGTGTATAGTAGGAGAAGATGGTGGTCTGTATAAAATAAAAGTAAGACAGGCTGCCTTATCGAAAGACAAGTAGAAAGAATTCACGGAAGATGCAAAATAAATCATGTAAACGGCCTGGGAAGTTAGTACTGATTGGTCAACACGGCGCATACGACTAGTGAATACTAGTCCGAAGCGGGGTGCGTAATTAAGCACGGATTTCGGAAGGCCAATGAAGTCTAACACAGCGATGTTCCGCGGGCTACAAGAAGACGCAGGCGGATGAAGTGAATAAGGGCGAAAATCAGCACAGTAATTCTCCGAGTAGACGAGTGCGAGGGAATCTAGGCGGAGGGTAGGGAACAGTAAAACAATAACGAATATTGTACAACAGATCAGCAATAAGACCAAACGTGTCATCTTTTGATGTGCTAGAAGGCTTTAACTAGAAGGCGGAACAAAAGAGACCTTCGATAACCAAAATGATATGAGTCGAGGTTCATAAAACAAATTTGCGCCGACTAAAAAGGATGTGAATATTGGTGTCAAAAGGGTGTTCGTCTGAATTCGGAGTCTGCTGTGCAGCTTGTATTCTGTTATTAAACGATTTGCAGGACGGGATGTATAACAGAGAGCCGTCAGAGCGGGCATGTCGGACTGCAAAAAACTAACTAATCAGGAAAAAGACCGAGAAGACCATAACCCCCGCTGCAGTTAAGGGGCCCGTTTGAGAGTAACGTCTCCTTCATCAAGTGCATCGCTCGTGAGAATTAGTCGATCGGACGGAGGGGTTGGGGCATGTAGAGGAGAAAAAAGGGACATGCAGCAAAACCGCTGAAAAGTACGAACAAATGGCTGCAAGCAACAGCACTGTTTATGATTTGTTGGTTTTTGGATTTTTCTCAAGGATTTCGGGAAGTTCAAATTTTTTGGTTTAACGCTATTTAACGAACTACGAGACAAATATACACAATATGCACAAACTGAAACGTACTAACAGCGCACATACTCGGAAAAACGAGCGAGTTTATGAACCTCTCGACCACGGCGGTTGGGCATGGGAGGCGATAGGTTAAGTGTGGAAGATGCTATCGGGACGGCTAGTGTCTGTATACCGGGACCGGCGTCTGATTCTAGGATGCTAGACGGCTGAAACGTGATGCGGATAGTTGTGACGTCGCATGAAGCAATGTTAGACGACGGAGACAAAGTGGCTTCCCTCATGAGGGCTGGCCTTTGGTGGATGGTGACAACTCCGTGTTGGCCACCGTGGTCGGTCGTAAATGCCTTGCTTGTACAGCTGATAACTTGGAAGGGCCCGATGTACTTCAATTGCAGAAGCTATCGCAAACCGTCTAAGCGAAGCAGTACGTGTAAACAACTAGACAGTATTTGGACACGCACACTGGTGTCTTCTGTAACAATGAAGCGGGCGGGCACAGCTCAAACATCTAGTGAGCTAACTGATCAGTACGACTTCTGTAGTCGAAGGAGGAAGTGCACGGTGTTGGTGCTACTAACTGTCCGCACAAACGTATCGTGCAACCTTAGAGTAGATGCGCTGGTGTTGCGTCGAAATCGGGTTTAACGGCGTTCTTAATGCCAAGGAGGACAAGAGGGAGAATTTCGCACCATGAAGGATATGCGTGCGCTCGGAGCGCTGTGTTCAGTCGGCGGTGAAATAGCCGGACCACGTCGTTAGTGGCCAAATGATATGCTATTGCCTGGACGTGGCGAAAATTCAAATCTTTAAGCAACGTAGCAAAAGTGGAGGAGAAATGTGATCTACTCTCGGTGGTCACGATAATGGTACAGCCATGCTTCGATACTCAGTGGCCCAGAAATACTTACGATACCGTTTCTGAAGAGTAGTTTGGAATGAAAACAGCCTCCCATTACTTGGTGGATCGGTTGATACAAGTCAGAAGGTAAACCTAGCCTTTCGCAGATGGCAGAGGATCTACGAACTCGACGTGCACGTTGCGAAAACGTGAATCTGGCATTGGAAACGCGCCCAATAGGTTTTTCGTGTGCTTTCGCGCCTTCCCACGCTGACATGGAAGGCAAGCAGCGAACCAGTTGTGAACATCGCGATTAACGTTAAAACAATGGAACAATGGTTTTATAAGGGTAATAATACTACAGCTTAACAGGCCCGGTAGGAAGGTCATGATAACAATTCAAAACTTGGTTCATACCGGTGAAATCACCGCGATATCCTCTGTAAGCCCATAAGGAATGATGACAAACAGGACATTAGTAGAAATCATCAGATATTCTGGTGAAAAAGGTGGAAGGTATTATGGAAGCTGATGGGCAACGGAATCTCGAACAGGCACTCCTGTTTGGCCACGGGCGATAAGTCATGTGAGATGACGCAGCGAAATGAGTGCACGGTCAACTCGGGCTCCGAACTCCACCAGGATTGGTGCACAGATGACAGATTCCGGCAGGGCGTTCCAGGCTTAACAAATGCATACGAAAATATTCCGACGACATTTCAAACAACGGTACTGCTCTGCCGGCTTGAGGTGGTGTCCTCGCAGATAAATGTTGTGATTAAGCACTAGCAAATGGCGGCGCGAATGGCTGGTATACCTCGAAGTCTGGTAAGTCAAAACAAAGTACCACACAATCACCGGTGTTGTCTGCTGAAGAACCCGAGCACTCAAAGTCTTCGTTCATACGGTAAATGGCACCATCTTCCGACATTCTTAGTTGCCCGTCGTCGGAGTACCTTCAAGGCGCTGAGATCTCCCCTCAACTATGGCTGTCAGACTTGTATTAACTATGTCAAATCTAGACGTATGTATGAGCCTAGAAGCTGCTGAAAAGTTTAAGGGTCGAAACGTATGAATGCACACCACAGAAGGTCCAGGTGTTAGTTGCCCCTGCATCACGCCTGTTCAGCCTGACTTGAACATCCAATATCAACCAGAACCAGAACATTTAGATCCTCTTCGCCAGAGAAAAAGTGAAGCTGCTGCTTGAACAGTTTGTAGCAGTAAGCCAGCCGGTACAGCATGCTATATTTTGCCACATTACACAGAAGTAGGTTCGGGATTGGCAATCTGTAAACCCTATCCAGATCGGCTTGAAGTAGCGCAACATCACCTTGTGTATTGATCGCTTTCCACATCTCGATGTTTTCGGCATGAAGCTGACAGTTCGTTCATATGAGGCAGGTGATGTGGTTGATATGCACAAAAAATGACCGTGATCCCAGTACCGATCCCTGCGGTACATTGCATTCAGCTTGGATGGGATCTGACAGAGATTAACGCACTCTAACCTCCAAGGGCAGATGTAAGAGAAAGTTTCTGATCCACCCTAGGAGAAAACGACCAACACCAAAGGTCTGGAGCTTGGAGAGCGGAATGTCATGGTCAAACCGGTCGAATGCCTTTGAGAAGTCGAAAAAACTACAACTCCTATGCCAGTGTCTGCTGCCTCGGTCCAGCTGGATCGTGCTAATAGAAGGTTTGTGGTGTACGATCGATTGCTTGGGAAGCCATGCTGTTCCGGTGCTAAGTAGGTGAATTCTTCCAATTGGGCCCTCGGCGCATAAGCAATAACGGTCTCCATGACCTTTGAAAGTACCAGAAGTAAGCATACAGTATGGTAGTTGGCTGGATCGGAACAACTACTCCCTTGTGGAAAGGAGTAACCATCCTGTATTTCCACATGTCGGGCACATATATTTCGCCAAAACAGTGTTGGAAGAATCGAGCCAAATGGTCAACTAAGCTATCTATTACTGAGGCAAGTGACTTTGGGTGAATGCTATCAACTCCATGAGAGCTTTTTCAGTACAGTTTCTGCCGTAAAGGATGTATGGGTGAGCTCTGGGGATGAGACAATACTTGCCGTAAAGTTAGGTGGCCAATGATCGCAATGAAAAGTTAGAGCATATTGCAGATGCAGGGTATTCGCTGCATCCTTCTTGGTCCGTGTAAGTCCACCCGCTGTGCGAAGAGGAGGAATACCAAGTTTACCATATGTAGACTGTTGATACAGCAGTTTTCGGGTTGAAACAATAACTAATGCCAGCATCTGCTGGTATAAAATTTAATCCCAGCGAACATGTTTAGTCTCGGTGCTAGGAGAGATTTCGTTATGCCAGGTCGAATTTCGCACCGATATACACTTCTGTGTTCTGCTTCGCACAAACAAGATCACATTTCTAGGACGGATTGCCTTAGTTTCTGATGCTTCCGCGACCAGAGTGTTAAACTGACTGATGAACGGTTGCCATACGCTAGGCGTTGCCTCGTCTGCCAGAAAGATCCAATTGATCGTCTCACGTAGTCGAGCTAATATGTTGTAGTGTATAATAGTTCTTGTTGTGTAGGTAAATGGCATGAGAAGTGCTGCGTAAGGGATGCATTCGAAGAGTAGGACACATGATAACTACGGCCCAGAAAGATGTCCAAGATCACCCTCTCGATCACTAGTCCTTCGTTAGTGAATATCCGATCCAGTAAAGAAGACTTATCAGTTGTTTTGAATCTGGTGGGAATGTTGTGGCCATACAGCGGGAAACTAGAGACAAAGTCTTGTAGATCCACCTTAAACTGTTCTTCAGGAGCAGCTTGGGATTCTAGAGCGTGAATGTTGAAATCGTCAGTAATGCGAATGTGACAAATTTGTGTTTATCAGCCACCTTAGTGCGAATGCCAGATGGAAGTCCATCTCGGGAGTGGAGGAAGGAGG